AGGATGTTGATATTTAGTCAGTAGCATGCTGGGATCAAGGACTACTATGTTTGTTAAAGTGAATGACTTTGACTTATATTCAAGGTCACAGGGGTCAAATTTGTTTAAAATCTTTAATCGACCTCTTCTGAATAACCATGGGTCCCAGGATGTTGATACTTTGCAAGTTGCATCCTGAGATGAAAGGCTATAAAATTTGTTTAACATAATGACTTTGTTCGACTTTCAATCACAGGGGTGAAATGTTTAAAAAAAAAATAACAGGTTCTTTTGAATGAATTTTAATCATAAATACTGAAATTTGTTTTTGCCTGTAGCTTTATTTTAGATCACTTTTAAGGTTACAAGTGTGAGATTTATACCAGGTGAGCGATGCAGGCCCATTGGGCCTCTTGTTCAAATGACTTGAAAAAGAAGATGGCCATCAGGCAGGCATCTTGGATTTATACAGTTAAAGTTTGTTACTGCTATTTTTCAAGAAGTACAGAGAGGTTTCCTTATATGTAGGATCTCTATGGTCCTTAGCTGCATGTTTGATTTTTAGACTGAACTAAAATATTATCACCATTTCTTAACAAATAAACCTTGCTTTGAATGAAAACTCAAAGCCAGCTGCATGAAATTTAAATCAAAAGTTACTACTACGAGATGCATTTACTGCTGACATCACTTTTTTAAACAACCAATGTTCTATAGCAATTATAGTCGGATAGGGAAAAATAGGCTAGTGGTGCACATCTTTTTCTTATAGAGGTAAAAGCTTTATGAACCTACATGTATTCTTTTTGTTCAATGATACCCTGGGTCATGACTATTATTGCAAAGCTTGGTATGAAGAAACAACACTAGTATGCTACCAGGATAAGCCCTCTGATCTGTTCCTACCCGTTGAGATTTAGTTTCCGGTCATCATTATTATTATTATATTCCATGTACTATGATTTAGATCCCAACCCCATCGACATACACATTTTTTATTTTAACCAGACTTGTTATGAAGCATCCTTAGTCCAAGGATAGACCCCAAAAAGGGGAAATATTTACTATTCTACTTTAAACGAAAACAGTTTGCCATCATTGCTTAAATAGCAAGATGAGTGATACAGGCCCTCTGGGCAAGTGAAAGTTATTTAACACACCATTCTGAGTGGTGACAGAAATGGATCCGAAGACTTGATCTCAAACTGTTATTCTCACATTCTAACCAACTGAGCTACCAGATCAACGAAGGTGTGGTACATTTATATCCAGTACAAAATGAAGGGTAGGTAACTGTATAAAAAAATCACAAGATTTCTCAAATGTATTGCCTGCAGTGGGACTCGCAGGGATCATTAAGTTATTCCCTGCTGTGATAGATTGGTTCCAATGCACAGGTTTGAGGACATTCATGAGAAAAATGTATCTTGGTTTCGCTGTATAATTTACAGGGGAGTGGTGGCCTGAAATGACTGGATTCCACCCTACATGTAGAGAGTTTAAGGACTTTAATGACCAAAGATAATATGATTCCTCTGTAGATTTTGAAGACAACATGATAGAATAATGAATTTCCAGTTTGCCGATTTAGTGAAAGTCTTGACCTAGAATGAACAGATTCTGCTGCACAATTAACATAAAATTATCGGACACGCTGCACTATAGTGACTGAGTATGTATATACCTATAGCTATAGCTACACCATAGAACATGGACAGTCACACCTGTACATAATGGACACCAGATACCAAAGAACATGGACAGTCACACCTGTACATAATGGACACCAGATACCAAAGGACATGTAGTCACACCTGTACATAATGGACACCAGATACCAAAGAACATGGGCAGTCACACCTGTACATAATGGACACCAGATACCAAAGACCATGTAGTCACATCTGTATATAGAGGTTACCCTACACCATAGAACATGGACAGTCACACCTGTACATAATGGACATCAGATACCAAGGAACATTTAGTCACACCTGTATATAGAGGTCAACCTATAGCTACACCATAGAACATGGGCAGTCACACCTGTACATAATGGACACCAGATACCAAAGCCCATGTAGTCACATCTGTATATAGAGGTTACCCTACACCATAGAACATGGACAGTCACACCTGTACATAATACCAAAGAACATTTAGTCACACCTGTATATAGAGGTCAACCTACACCATAGAACATGTACAGTCACACGTGTATATAGAGGTCACCCTACACCACAGAACATGTACAGTAACATGTGTATATAGAGGTCACCTTACACCACAGAACATGTACAGTCACACCTGTATATAGAGGTCACCCTACACCACAGAACATGTACAGTCACACGTGTATATAGAGGTCACCCTACACCACAGAACATGTACAGTAACATGTGTATATAGNTAGAACATGGACAGTCACACCTGTACATAATGGACACCCGATACCAAAAACATGTAGTCACACCTGTATTTATAGGTCAACCTATAGCTACACCATAGAACATGGACAGTCACACCTGTACATAATGGACACCAGATACGAAAGAACATGGACAGTCACACCTGTTCATAATGGACACCAGATACCAAAGAACATTTATTCACATCTGTATATAGAGGTGACCCTACACCATAGAACATGGACAGTCACACCTGTACATAATGGACACCAGATACCAAAGAACATGTAGTCACATCTGTATATAGAGGTCACCCTACACCACAGAACATATACAGTGATGCCTGTATATAGCGGTCACCCTACACCACAGAACATGTACAGTCATACCTGTATATAGCGGTCACCCTACACCACAGAACATGTACAGTAATACCTGTAAATAGATGTCACCCTCCACCACAGACATGACTTGGAACGTCACTGGCATCATGTCAGCGGCTTCCTATCACAATAATGCTCTTACTTCTGAGGAAATTGACATATGTGGCATCTCGGAGCACTGTCTCTTAGAGGAGCAGAGGCGTTTGTTTCGGACCATTCATTGCGATTATGACAGTCACGTTATTTCTGATTCTTCTCTACATCCCCTATCTCAAGATAGAAGGCGTAAAGGCCGCGTTGCTCTATTGTGGCGGAAAAGGCTGTCCAGTCGTGTGACAGTGATTGACTCGGCTGATGATAGAATTGCAATCTTGAAACTAACATTGAACTCTGAGGTTTTGTTCTTCATTCAAGTTTATCTTCCTACCACACGTTAAGGATCTGAGTTATGCTCTGAATATATCGCCAAGATGATTGAACTATGTGCTTCTTTCCTAATGGAAGGTTCGGTAGTCATTATGGGTGATGTCATTGCCAGATTGAAGTGGACCTAGAATCGTCGGATATGAAAACTATCGTGGTCATCTTCTACAAGGTGTTATGAATCGCTACCAGCTGTATTCTTTAACAACATCTTATGTTTGTAAGGGACCAATGTTTACTTACGTTCATTCTGAGGACGGCTCATCTTCTTTGATCGACCATTTCATCATGGAATCTTCTAAACAGGACCTTGTCAAGGAATGCCGAATTCTTAACAATAACTACCTTGATGTTTCCAATCGCCGTCCGATTGTCTGTGAATTATGTTTTCCCGTTGATATCTCAATCGCCTATGAGG